TGATAAAGCAGATCACAGTTTTACTGCTATATACCAGGGCAGGGAGCAACAGATATACATTGGAAGTAATTTAAAGTAATTTAAAGATTTGTGACCCAGAACACAGCAAGGCTCTGTATCTTTAACCCTCTTGTTCTATATCAAGAGCCAAACTTTCGACATCACTTTCATTGATAAGTGAAAAAATGCTCGACATCAATAATCACCAGGAAAACGTGAATGAAAACCACAATGATTATGTACATATAGCTGAGACTCAACATGAGCAAATAGTGATTTCACTAAAGCCTTGGGCTACATTTTTAGGCAATATCTTGGTAAGAGTCTCCTGATCCAAATAGTTTTTGATGCACAGAAAAAAAAAAAATCTATCCAAGTAAGAGTATATATCTTTGCATATGCATAGAATATATTTGAAATGATTCACCAGAAGCCGGTATTGATAATTACTTTTGGAGATTGGAACTAGGGGGCTGGGTGAAAGTGGTATAAAGAAGACTTTTGCTTTTTCTGTTCATTGTTTGTTACTTCAGAATTTGATAATCTATGAACCCTGAAATGAAGATAATATTGTAGAATACAACCTCTGAAAATAAATATTAATAGCATTCTTTTTTTACTATTGGGGCTACTGTTTGTTGTGCTGAGCGTTTTAGTGAAAGATACCTATCTTCCCCAACATGAAGTCATAGTCCTAAAATTTAGCTTTTGTCCCTTTGTGGCTGAGAACTCAAAACTAGCCTCTTTTAGAAAGCCAGCAAATTTATCCATAATGAAATACCAGAATCTTTCTGCACTTTTTCTAAGAACGTAAATCATCTACATCCACATGATTTGCTGTATGATCGAAGTTTAGAGTTTCTACTTGCTTCAAAGAACATATGTTGAGAAAAAACAGTAAATATGGAGAGCGTAAGAAACTATTCGGAGACAGGAAACTGGCAGGTACTGCTTTGGATACAGCATTGTTGCAGGTGATGCCTTGGGCATTGCTCTGGGCATTACTGCAGCATTGCTTAACTGAGTCAGGAAGTCTCAAAACAAAGTTTCGAATTGACCTTATCAAAACGGGATGGAGACAGGGCAAGTTCCAACCTGTTAAGATCAAGATGGTGGAGGAACACGGCCCCTACCATGAATATTCGTCCCCTTGTTTACATAGAAAGGCAAAAGGAACCAGGGGACCGAGGCCGGTTCTCTTCTGTAGGGAGAACTTGCCTCTCCTCTGCTTGTGGAGTAGACTTTCTACTGTTTCTGAATAAATCTCTCTTTCACTTTATACTGTCGGCTCACTCCTGAATTCTTTCTGGCACGAAGCCAGGGACCCACTTGGACTTCAAGTGGCTCCCAGCATTGGAAATCACTTTCCTGTGTCAATTCTATCTTGGTTTCAACTTAAATTTTTGTTTTCAAATCAGTTACCTTCCCTTAACTGCTTCACTGATTTTGCTTTTTGTTCTAATTTGATCTCTAGTTTCTTGCACATATTCCCTTGTTCCTTGTTGATGCTACTTTTTGATTTTTAACTAGTACATTAATATATTCCCTGAATCTAAATTTTCTCTCAATTTTTTACATCCTTACTACTCTCTGGGTTGCCTATATCAACGCTAGTTTTTCTGATCCACCTGTCTCTATTAATATTGAATCATATTGATTATTTAATTTTTCCTTTACGTTATTTTATAGGTGAAAACACGATTGCAGTACGTTTCAGTCTGGGATTTCTTTTCACTCTTTTACTCTTCCATCTTCAGTGAAAATGTTAAATGTCTTATTATAATTAAAAATAGGTTAATTTGAGTCTTCATATTATATTTGGATATTAAACATGGAAATGTATGAGGCTGATTGTTTTCTGGGTCACTTTATCCTAGTACAGGTTGAGTATTCCTAATCCAAAAATCCAAAATCCAAATTCTCCAAAATCTGAAACTTTTTGAGCACCAACATAATGCTTTCCTCACCACCCAGTAGTCATGAGAGAAAAGAGAACTCTGCTTTCCACGGGGGAAAGGACTTTTCTTGGTGCAGTCGCAGACAGGGGTAGGTAAGTGGAGGGAGGAATCCCCGCAGCGAGACAACAGTTCTGACGTCATAGAGCCCCGTGACGTCGTTCACATCTCGTGCGTGGGGAGTTCACAATGGTCTTATGAGGAGCGAGCAGCAGTCAGCCTCTGGCTCCGACCCTGCAGCACGAAGATCTGTGCTCCGGAGCCAGGGTAAATATTAGCGCAGGCTGGGAGACTGGAAATGAGCAGGGTTGGGGAGGTGGGTCAAGACAGAGGAGATCTGTGAGGTGAGGGAGCGTCTCATCCTCCTTCGTACCTCTTCTGGAACTCTCAAGGACATATCCGCTGATTAAGGGGAGACTGATAGTTCACTTTTGTTGCTTAGCACCGATCTGCCAAAGACTTTCAACATGCTTTTTTATGTTTGGCCTATTGAAACTCTTTACCTACCTTTTAGGTAAATCATTCTATTTACCTGAGACCCACTGAATCATCAGTAGAAGCTTGAAATCATTTCAAAACCTGGCTTTTCGTGGGGTCAAATTAAGAGCTTTAGTTTCTTATCAATGTTTTGAATGAACAGTTATTGGAAACTATATAACAATTAGAATTAAGGGGATTGACTCTTCTGGACTTTATGTCATCTATTGGCTTCCAGGATTAAAAACTTGATCAGATAAGAAGGTGTGACCACCATCCCCACCCCGCAAATCCATTTAATCAGCGCTCACTGTGTGGATGACTACTTAGAGAAATGATCTTGTAAGGAGTTTATCGGTTGAAGTCCTAGATAAGAGATTGGGAGTCTTAAAAACATACTGTGATTTTCCAGGTAAATTAGCCAACCAATAATTACTGAACTTCTGTAAGAAGTTTAAGAAGTCCACTTTTTTGTTAGTATTTAAAAGAAATACCAAAACATTAAAACAGAATCTGATCTCAGAAGGAGATTATGGTCTTAATGATGGGATCAGATAAATACAGGGAAGTATGAGCTGCTAAATGGTTGAGTCAAATTTTAAGTTTGTGACAAGAGATTAAAGATGCTATTTATAAGGGGATTCTTTACATCTTCATTTTGAATATTCTCTGTTTTCCCATTTTAGGTTTAGGAAACTATATATACCATGCTCTTTCTACAGGCACTTCAGGGGACCCAGGAAGACATGGTTTCATTCTAAAAATAAATAACATAATTAATTTGCATGTTTGTGACTTTGAGACAATTATACTAGAGCTGCATTTAATGGTAAAAGGAAAAATGGATGGCTATTTGAGTATGTTGTATATGCTTCCATATTAATGATTTTGCTACCCTTAACATATGGTCATGTATTAATACAGGAATTGTTGAAATAAGGACATAGGGTCCCCATTGTGCTGCAATGATGATTATTTTCTCCTAGTTGAAACTTTTTCCCTTTCCATGTGTATTGACTTTGAAGTCATAATTGGATGAAGACTAGTTTCTGACATTACCTAAGAACTTACCATTGACATAGGTTAATTAACTGTTCTAAGCCTTAATTTCTTCATCTGTGAAATATAGTCATACCCAATAAGGTATGAGAGTTAATTCATACTTTTTTTTTTTTTTTTTTTGAGATAGAATCTCAGTCTGTTACCCAGGCTAAAGTGCTATGGTGTCAGCCTAGCTCATAGCAACCTCAAACTCCTGGGCTCAGGCGATCCTCCTGCCTCAGCCTCCCTAGTAGCTGAAACTACAGGTGTGCACCACTATGCCTGACTAATTTTTTTATTTTTGGTAGAGACAAGATCTTGTTCTTGCTCAAGCTGGTCTTGAATTCTTGACCTCAACCGATCCTCCTGCCTCAGCTTCCCAGAGTGCTAGGATTACAGTCATGAGCCACCACTCCTAGACCATTCATCATATTTTATCATGAACCATCAGTAAATGTTCATTCCTCTCCCTTCTATGGGCACACCATTGAGGATGGGGGAATATGTGGAACAAGTATCAATTATCTACTGTTTACAAATCAGCAAAGCCTGAGGAGTACTGCAGATAAATTGTTTGGAATCTTCTTTCCCTCCAAGAATTTGGGAGTGCCAATCTCACACACAGGAAAAAAATCAAGGCAGCATCCTTTAATTTACAAAGTAAACAATTTGTGATGAATGGCAGGAAGATGAGTGCTTCCTAAACTAAGTGGTCTTGTTGCTTCATCTAAAGGACTTGGCATTTTTTGACATATCGAGAAAGGACAACATGGGCAATGAAATGCTGAGTGTCTTTTAAAAAGATAATGAAAACGTTAATCAACCTTTGTATCAAATCATGGATTGAGCAAACTTGAACAGGCTATATTTTCAATACATTAATTGCATTTGTATTTTTCTATACAGGGAAATTTGAAAGTATACACAAATATAAGGAAGAAAATAAACATAACTTAAAATTGCTGCATTAGATAAATAACCACTAATAAAGTGTTTGTACATTTATGTCTGTGTAATCACAACCTTGAAATCTTGATTAGATTCTGGTGTAAATAAAAGTACAAGCAATTCTACTTTTCATAGGGAATAGTAATTCAAGAGATAGTAGATACTGAAAAGAAACTTTACCCCAAAATTGAGATGAATAATGAATGCCAGTACCGCAATCACCTATGAAGGAATCTATTTTCTCCACATCTTATTTTTAATGGAGTAAGGGCAACAAAATGGGGCAAAAAGAACAGAATATGTCCCTAGCCTTAATAGATGTACCCCCAGGGCAACAGTCAAATTCTTAAGCTTTTTGCTTTTTTTTTTTTTTTTCTATTGTCCCTCTCAGAGGCAAGGTGGGTTCTACTATGATTCTGCGGGCACAGTATGGCATTCTTCTCTCGTCACATCATTAATGAATTTGAGAATCACAGTTCCTTTGAGATAACCAAGATCATTACAGTGGTTTTCACTCTCTTAGTCAGGAAGTCCTTGTACTACTTGTTTTAATGCTGATGTTTGTTTTCTTTGACTTAGTTTCCATCAATGGCTTTACTACCGGTGCTGCTGTTTCTGGTTACTACACTGCTTCCATCTTTACCCACTGAAGGAAAGGTAAGGTTGAAATGGAAAATCTGAAAGAGCTATCCAGCAATTTTTGGAGACGATAAGCTATTTCAAGAGTGGAAGGCACAAGAGTGTTGGATATGTCACAGAACTCCCATTGTTAGCTCAGAACACTTAACACAGTTACTGTGATCAAAGGCTAAGGTGGTGCTTTATGTATGTATGTGTATAGTAGCCACCAGTCACATGTGGCTATTGAACATTTGAAATGA